CGAGGATAAATTTTAATATTTATATTGGAGGTAAAAAGAGATATGTTTAAAGTAATAAAGCAGATTAACTTTAAGATTTAGAGAATACATGTTAAGCAGGAGATTTTGTTAATAAATTCCCGTGAGGAACAATATTGTTAGGTATTCAACAAACATTTGTTATCCTTTAAGCTTGCCTTGTTACTGCTTAAGTTTTCTCACAAAATATAATGTTTATTGGATGATGATTCGATGGTGTATACTTTATATTTTTAACCTACTTCAAAAATCAGATGGTTCTAAATTGGATTGATGTATTTGTAGATATGTTGTACGATATCTTTGAATCAGTAAACAGATTTTAATAACTTTTCTGCATAAATATAATCGAGAAGGTCTCGAAGGGTTCCCTTAAATCGCATCAGTAGTTTACAATATAACTGGATACACTATTTAATTATATCGTTAAAATTATTATGATGATGTAGTCGTAACTAAAAATATTATTTAAAACTAAATAGTTTATGTGCATCTGAGTAAAAACTTAGTGTGAATGTACAAAAAAAATGTGATAGTTATGTCTTTAAATTATACGGGAGCGTATACTTTCTGGTAATTTATAAAGAAAATCAAGAAACAAAAAACACCATTAAAAAAATCGAATAATATTTATTAAAACTACAAATGCAGTTTACATTATAGAATTTTTAAGCCGCGCTAATATAAAAACGTAGCCAGCAAATCCTACTGGGAGACCTTTGACCTTGTGTCTTCCTGTATTTTTAGATTGGCTCTGAAAATTCCAAAGAAGCAATGAAAGGTCAAACATAAACATTTCACTGAAAATAGAAGATACTGTCTTAAACTGGGCTGTAAAAGTTACACTCGTTTGCCTTTAATTAAATTGCAACAACAACTAAGTGTAATAATCAAGGTTATATATTTTGCACATTAGGATGCATGTTTTCACATAGTCTTTGAATACGATGAATTGTTAATTTAACTTTATGCGAAGAATTTTTTTTCGTGATGACAATTTAAAAAAAAAATTATCCAAAATTTTGTAAGCATCAAGTATGCCTGTATATGTCGCGACATAATTCTAAACAACGCAAAATTCGGGTATGTAAAAAATTTAATTTAGATAAATTTGGAAAATTACCTAAAAGTTTCATTTAAATAAATTTGGTAATTTTTATATCATAGATTTGGAATGACTTATATAATTATTATTTATAATTAAAACAATTTGATGGACTTCGTTATGATGGGCGGTGATTACGTCTAATATCAGTCCAACGTCAATAGAATACTAATTAATTTTAGAATACTAAATACTGGAATGACAAATACCAAAGCTTAGAAAAATATTCGGGCAACTAACGAGGCATCTTTAATGTTTTTATATCAAATTCATATTAATTTTCCACCTTACAAATAACCCGTATCTTAAAATCCCCCATTTTTTACAGGTTACTCTTGTTTAACTCTAATCCTGAAAACAATAACCCATTGAATTACAATCACTCGACAATTTTCCTTATTCTCAAGTTAGCTTAAATAATTAATTGGATCGTTAAGTATAACAATAATTTGACTGCGATTCAGAATATAGTGTAAATTAGTTTAAATTTAGATTTTATACTGTTTTCCGAATGAACAACTATATGAACAACGTTGTAACAGATCGATGCTTGGGCGAATTAATGAAAGGCTGACTAAGCTTGATAATTGATTTATTTTATAATAAATATGTAAAAGGTAAAGAAAAAACAGTAAAAAAAAACAAAAAAAAAATATAAAAACTATTTAGTAAGTTACCTATATATAAAATTACAATTGCTAAATAGACCAAATACATACCCCTTTTTGGGTTTGCCGCGATACGTAAACTTGGACGATATTTCAATAGATAAGTTTATTTTAAATAACATTTCTATTTTAATCACAATAACTTCATTATTATAATATGTTATATTTAAATTTATACGATTTACAATAACATGTTCAAAACAGATCAATTTTTACGAACTGACATTCATAAAGAGCGTATCGGAATAGTCAAAATTTCATATTACGAAAGGTGAATAATAAAAGAAATGATGTTGAATATCAAATACAAAAAGTTTGCATGCTGAAACCTAGGACGAAATAAATGGTGGTGCGGCACACCGTTACAACGTTTACTCATTATTATATTGTAGTTGCAGGGCATCAGTTTTCCCACGGATTCACCCGCGTAAATTATAGCCGATGTCACCTACCTATAATGTATATCGTAAATGAAAGTTTTTTGATTCGGTCCAGTAGTTTAGGAGTCTCTACGCCGTAAACAAACAATTTTCTAAATAAACAAAAAGAAAACTATTTCGTGAATTGATTTCTAATATTACATGTGACATCCGAATTAAAAAAGAAGTAGACTTAGTGTTCCTTAGCTTAAAAAGAAACCCTTCATGAACCTATTAACGTAATCGTCCATATGTTTGTCTGTCTATCAACCTTTGTTTCAGAAACGCGTGGAGGTATCAAGTTGAAATTAAAACTAATTACTCGGGTCTACTACAGTCCCTTAAAGCTGAGAAAAAATGGAACTTCTAAAAGAACACGAACACTCGACACTCTCAATAGCCGATTTCTACAAGCTTTTATTTAAGTTGTCTTGTTTGTATGCAAATCTTGGAACTCAAATTTGAGCCACTTCCCTTGTCCAATAGATTTGAAATATTGCATAGACATGTAAGTCAGATGACAATGCAATATTATGGTGTCTGTAAGCTGATATGGTGATGAAGTTTGAAGGTGGAAATAAGGAACTTAGTGATGAAATGATGCAACTGCATCGTGTTTGAAATATAAAATTAACAGGAAAAACACCTTTAAAAACACACTTGAACGTACTTTGTTAACATTAACCTTATGAATTTGTCTTGCATAAAATTATTATTTATATTAGTTTTAATGCGCACAAAGAAAAGCTTGTTTTTAAAAACTTTTAACCTACTAATTATATTTTTAACCTACTATGGCGATGTCTATACCTCGTGTATTCATAAGTTTAGAGTTGTTATTTTTTTAACCGAATTTGAATTTAGAATGTTAACTTTTACTTTATTTGTATCGCAGATTCATTTGTTCATATTTTCTCGTGATGGAGGGAATGAAACAATGTAATTTCGTTATATAAGGCGGAAAAGAAACTGAAAAGTTTCCTGTAAGGCGTAACTTCGTCTATTTCATAATACAGCGGTACAAAGAGACAAGTACTCTTCAAGATTCCAAAAGGAGTGGTTGGCCACGCTCTGTAAGGACGCTTGTGAACATCAATATCACCCGAGACCGACTTCGCCGATCTTCATGTCGCACACAGAAGAAACTTCAAACTAATATTTCGCGCGTTTCAATGAACAGAATACTGAACTATGATCTTAAGATAAAAGCCTATAGTCGTAGAAAAGTTCACTTTTTAAATCGTCTTCGTAAGTTACGACACGATAGTTGTCCATTGCTGCTGAGGAAACATGATGCCAGGAGGATACTCTTCATCGACGAGAAATATTTTACTGTCGAAGAAAAGTTCAACCGACAAGACAATAAAGTTTACGCTAAAAGTAGCAAGGATATCCCAGATTCTGCACAAAATGTCTCGCGCACTCATCATCCGGCTCTTTTGTTTTTAGTTCGTTTTACGCAGTAGTGTTTTTTAATATTTATTGTCATTATACCTACACTTGGTTTTCTACTATTGAAATAACACGATAATATTGAATTATCAATAAAATGATTTAAATGCGAAATAAAAAAATATTTATACAATATATTTAAGTCACTAAACCATGTTCGTTCCAATTAATAAATCTGTGTAATGTGGATGGTTATTTTGCGAATTAGATCATTAGAGGGGATATAAAACATGGTTCAAATGACCGGTCACGCCAACATTGTTTTCTCTAGGGCTTATAGGTTGTTAATATTCAATAAGACGCAAAATTTCCCCTCTTGTGTTTATCTATGGCATTTGGGCAAACTCCGGAATTCCCTTCTTCAATACCTATATAAAGCCTTCATCACGAAATAGAAAGTTGATTAATAATAAAATGCAGTTTGACGGCAATATCCCAACATTATATTATATAATCTTTGCATACAATATTATATACAATGTAATATTATATAATCATTTACTTTAGGTACCTACATATATTATAAGGATATAAGGAAGATTGTGTTATCACAAATAAAACTTTCTTAATTTGTATTAATAGATAGCAAATATTATTAAATATTCCGTAATTTAGTATGAGTTTTATAGATCACATAAATAAAAAGACAAAATTCCGGTAAAATCAAGATTATTTTTTTATAAACTCTATTCTATTTTTATAATTAGACCAGATTATAATATTTCATTATGTGAAACTGTGCCTAAAATAATCAAAAAAATATATAATAACGTTAGCAATCTTGGAGTATGAAAAAACGTGTTTGCTACCAATAATCAGACAAAGAGATAAGTTTTCAAAATACCTCTCAGAGCACCGGCCGTTTGTAATAAAAACTGATTCGTATTAATTATCACAATTTATATCCCCTCTTCTCCGGTTTTAATTAAACACCGCTTCCAACATTTTCAATCATTGTGAACTATGCCACAAAATTGTTTCAATTTAGATAAAAGGAAACCGGTTATTTGAAGCGAATATTGCTTGCTAACTTCTGCACACAACTCTATCCTCATCAAAGCCTTTCAAAGGCAAGTTGATGAATAATATGACATGATTTTGCTAATTTTATTATATAATTTAACATTTCAATAAAAAAAGCTGATCAGGAAAAGTCAAAAAAAACGTCTACAGTTATCAAATATCTAAATTGATACTGATAATTTTATGTTTAGTTTTGGATTCTGTCTAACAAATTTTTCAAATAAATATACATAAAAACTTCTACCTTAATTTAAGCCGATCTAATAAAATATCACACTTGTTTACGGGTGATGTCGTAACAATTATCTTTTTTTATCACATTTTACCCCAGTTTGGACACCAAGTGGCTATAAAAGAGTACACAGCGGGCCTCTCGGGCAGGCAATATCCCAGGCTCTCCAACAATGAAGGGGTTTTTGTAACAGACTCGTGGAAGTCGTTAAAATTTATCACCCCATCTAAATCTGCATCCATCCTCTTCAACATGATATCTACTAATTCCTGAAACAATAGAATTGACAATGTCTCAATGTTTTTGCCTGATATTTGGGAAAATAGGTTTGTAAGACTTTTTTCTTTTTAACGAAATCCTAGAATCAATTCCCGGTCGCAATAATATTTCACGTTTTTCAACTATCAATACTCATTTTAAAGAGTTGACAATACGTCAATTGGCAATTGTTCCTTATTTGTTCCTTAAATCTAACTTTTCTTATTATCTAAGCCTAAACCTAGGTCCAGTGTCCTAATTGTCTTATTTTAAAATCTATCACTATCCCTTTCAAACGTGTAGAGGTTCTGATAGTGATTTATGAAATATTGTAACTTTTAAAGTCACAATCTTAAAGCCTTTGGAACGATATTTGACATCCCAAATTTTTATTCTGTGAAATACAGGGTAAATAACATGGTTTCAATTTGTTATTGTGTGTGTGTGTGTGTGTGTGTAAAGATATTTTTGTGTGTATGTGTAAGATATTTGTAACTATCACTTCGGTAAGACAATTCCGATTAACGTTAAATAAACGTTATCGTTCATTCAATATTTTTCAAAGAAACGTGATCGCAATTGCTATCTATCACATGTCAAATAGTTGTAGCGTGAAGTTCGTGAATATCCTCTTAATATCAAATTCAAAGACATTGTGATAGTCTTTAATTAGGCCACAGGTCCGGAAAAAATAAACATTTCTAAATAGTCTCAGATCTAGGTACATAGAATGGAACAACGTACGTGATGTTGTATTAGTAATAAATATTAATCATTTTTATAGGCCCAGACATAATGGAATAAAAAATTACTTCTTAACTTTAACTAAAATGTGATTTCTGCTAAAATTGATATATTGGTTCTATTTTCCTCATTATAAGAGAAATTTAAAATAAAATCCCTTTTATAAACAATTACTTTATTTGGATTTTATACTCTCGTGGAAAATAAATAATGCGCCATCCAATAACCAATAACCGCCAGAAAACTTTTCTCAGAATCACTTCAGTGAGAATATTTAATATCGTCTTGTAATCAAAGGCACTTATTTTATTTTGAAAATTGAGAAATACGTGAATCGGTGTTTAGAAAGGATATCATTGGCAAATACTTAATTATTTGATTAAGATTAAAGCCTTGTGTTTTCTAATAATTAATTTAAAAAATGATGCTTCATTTCGCGTATTGTGTTATCATTTGTCTCTATTTTAGCAGAGGTTAACTTTCACAAATGCCGATCATAGGAAGTGTGAACAAAAACTTTTCCCTTTACTTTTTCGCGGAGTATTTAAACGACTTTAAAATAGTAAAGTGACTAAAAATCACATAGTATTGATAAATTCTTGATTAAAAACTTGATTGTAATTTATCAGATCTCTAGCAAATAGAAGCAGCCGAAGAGTGCAATATAATTTATTTTATTATTAACATATACTTAGCTCTCATTCAACTTATTCTCGTCCAACTTAGCTTTTATCTTTTGACATACTAAAACTTTCACAAACAAGTATGAAGACTACCTTTGAAGTGGTGGAACAATGGGAACATTTCAACTTAAAGTTGAAATTACTAGGGTAAAGTTTTAAATGAATAGGATATTATTAGTCAGAAGTCACTCAATAGGATATATTATCCTTTTGTAGATTAATGACAATAAGTGTATTACCGCCGCAACTAGGCATTAAAATTAATATCATTATATTAAACTAGCTTTCCGCCAGCGGAGAGCTAGAGGAGAACTGTTCATTTGGATATCGATTCATATTATAACACGGATACAATGACAATGATAAAGTGAAACTATGACAACATTTTTATTCCCCATACAAACTTCAACCCCCATTATCATCCCTTTATTTGCTGTTTTTCGGTATTAGATATAACCATATATGATGTGATTCCCCAGCTGAAAGAATTTTTAAAATCAGTCCAGTATTTTTGGAGCCTATTCATTGCAAAAAAAAAGAAAACAATCAAATCTTTCCTCTTTATAATATTAGTACAGATGAAGCGAAATCTTTGTGACCCTTTGAGAGTTCCGTAGACAATATAAAAATGGAACCCTTAAAGATTTGTCATATCAGTCTATCTGTCCGTTACTATGTTACATGCAGTTTTTTTTATTATTTTTCAAATCATTCTTACGTGGACTTGGAACCATTTGATTATTTTTTTTTTTGCCCAAATTTATACGTGCTATACCCATATGGTCCCATTGCATAGGTCTTTAAAATAAAATTAAGATCCTAAAAATATTTTATTCTCAAGTCAATTGTTTGAAAATGAGGCGCTTCCAATGCAGTAAAATGTGTGTCTTCGACTCAACGGAGTTTAATGCAATTTTCATCATGTACAGAATGATTCAAGAGAAAGATTTATATGTATAATACAACACGACGCGGGCGAAATTGCTAGTGGAATAGCTTAAAATATAATAGGTAAAATTAAACAAAGTGTATATACGAGCATATGCTATACAATATACACATTCATTGTACAAAACATAATATATAAAAATGTTTACTGATATCTATGCTTGTTATTACGTAACCTTAATCATTTGTCAACATATAACGGGTCTCAGTCACACTTGGCCACGTTTTACGAAATTAACTAGCACCGAGGAGTGTGAAATTTGCCACAGCAGTTTTTGTAGAGGAGTGCAGAATGGTAACATATGTTTTCATTACTAAATCCAATTCATACTGCCACATAAACACCCACTACCAAATAGATAAATAAAATTGCCATCGGAGACCTGTTAGATTAAAATATGATCCACAGAACCACTGCGCTTTGAGCTCCTCTTCACTATAACATCAGCTATAAATATTTTGGTCACCCATCTTTTGTCCGGCCTTTGCAATAGTTACTTAATGTCCACATTCCAAACCGAATGCGCTAACCACTCTGTGCTTTGAATAACCACTTAATATTTATATTAGCTTAAAACGTATAGTATGCAACAAGTGTGAAAGTGTGTATCTTCATTGTTAAATTTGTCTACATTTACAAAACAAATGCGATCATGGCAGAAACGTCACGGGTATTATGCGCTTAAGGAAAAGCGAGAATATTCTGAGCCTATGTTTGGTTTACATTAAATTGTTAATTAACAATTATATTGAAAGACACCAAGCATTCACGAAAGTCAAACACGGGCACGTTTGCACAACTAAAATTACATGTTTACACAACGACTATTGTTTGGAATTAAGGGTTGACGGCTAGATTTATAATTATAATGTCAGTTTATTAAGAACATACGTCGATGTACTTGCTGGATGATAAGTTAAATTAAAAAATGTAATCGCATTACCAAATTTATTGTATAATCACCGAAACCTTTTTTTATTTCATTTTTTTAATATCAGATATATTGCTTAATTCCCATACTAACTAGCAAAAGTCTGAAGCAACCAAAATAAAACAACACCCAAACCAGAGACAAAATTGATTTTGTCTGATTTATTCACTAACGCCCGTAGTACAACGACACATTCGTTTGCAGCAGCGAATATCGAATCTATCGTGAATCATCGGCGAAACTATTGCAAATGCCAAAGTTTTAAAATGTGAGTACACGCAATTTTTTCGCTAGGTGAATTTTATTTTTTTTAACAAAACTAGCTAACTAACTGCAGGCGTCTTCGCCCGCGTGGTCCTGTATAATACATAAAAACTTTCTTCTTGAACCAACCTTTATATTGATGGTAACCGCATTAAAGATCTTAGCATCCAGACCGTTTTCTGTACGCTAAGTTTGACTTTGCTTTATCTATGTATATATTACTGAAAACATTCTGTCAAATAACGAAAATACTTCAAAGACATATTTAAAAATAAATTTGAAGTTTTAACTGGTGCTTGGGTTTTTCAGCATGTGACATTAATGACATCTTTATATCATCGAAGAAAACAATATAAGTATAATACCATGTATTTTGCTTTCCTATGATTTTAGGTAACAATAAATTATTATTATCACTGAAATATATATAATTCTATTGAAGTCAGGTGGTTAATATTATTTGCACGTGCTTAAAGTTAACTATCATAAACTTTAAGCTCTCAAACTTTTGGGAAACCACTCACGAACAGCATTGTTCTATTTGAATAATTATTGTGAAAATCATAATTCTCCTGAACGGGGAATAAATAATAAGGTACAGGGACCCGTATTCTGTTTCTCCCAAAACAAAATTTCAGATAATTTCGAAACTTTCTTATAATTGTGTTAGTTAAAACATTTTTTGGGCAAATTTTCTGTGTACAAGTGCTACCCCTGTTGCGTTATTAATTAGAAAAAAACTTGAGTAGAGTCGAGGAAAACAATAAGCTCTCTGATATTTTCCCAATGATTATATTTATGTGAAATAATATGTCTTTTCAATAAAAGCTCTCCTATTTTTTTACTACTAGATGTTTTTCCGCGACTTTGTCCTCGTAAATCATATCCTATGTCATTCGCGTATAATGCAGCTTTTCGTAAGTGAAAGAACTTTTAAAAACGAGTCCAATAGTTTCGGAGCTTATTCAATTTAAACAAACAAACCTTTTTTCTTTTTATATTATTAGACGCGTAAATTATATCATATGTCAATCCCGTATGATTATCGCATGAAGAAGTTTTAAATTGGGTCCATTAGTTTGGGAGCCTATTCGATGCAAATAAACATATAATCAAATATTCCGCATCACAATGTTCATAAAGTTCTCAATTCTCTTATGACTAGACTCATAGCGCCCTCTGTTATTTCTATGACGAAATTGGTAGTAATGTTTCCTTGCTCGTTATCATTGTGACGCAATATCTTTCCAAGTTAAAAATGCTCAGTGGTATTTTTCAGTATATGAAGTAGTGATTGAAAACAGGTGGAGTTAATGAACTGTTTTGTTTTTTAAAATATTAGTGAGAGAATTGATTACACATCATCTTTACTAATATTAACATTAAAATGACACCTGGAAAATCTATGATACTGATCTGAAACTAGTAAGCAAGGACATGACAAACTTTACACAATTTGTGCTAATGTCATAGATAATTTTATTTGTTATAGTTACTTCATAGTAACTGATTTCTGCTTATTACCTATTTAGTAGTAAGAGACTTAATAAATTCAGGTGCTGTTTTTTAAACATCCATTATGAGTTTACAAATATTACGAGAGTAAATCAATTTCTCCGAACACATTTCCACCGGTATAGGTAAAAATGGTAAAAACTTTTTTAATATATTTTCCGTTTTATTTACCTTTACAGCTTCTTCAACATCGTCGTCCCTGGAAGCTTTAGCCAAACTTTTTTTCATCAACTGATACATAGTCTCCCGTCTGAGTGAACCCTCTCCCAATAAGTCATAGCACTAGAATCAATATAAATATTTTAGTTCGACAACTTTTGCTATTCAAAAAGGAAGGCTTATGCAGTAAGGATATTAATAGACTTTTGATGGTAATGTCATGTTCATCAATACGAGTGTAAATCTACAAAATGCAGCATCATATCATCACTAGTACATTATTGTCCCCATTGCTGGGACTCAAGCCTACCCTATGGATGGGATTGAATCGAATAGGAAGAATGGGCCACTATCCAGCACGCAAGCCCTGTGCGAAGCACCTATCCTATGACCGGTCATTGCGAATTTCTTAACAATCGTAACGTAGACCAAGCACGATAGCTACCGTACCATCAAGCTCCTCAAAACATACTAAACTAATTTCACATAAATATCACAACTTTGGCGATAAAAGCTTCAAAAGCAACACACATAATATCATACTGTAAAAGCATAAGTAATCCTCTCCTCAAGATCACCGCGGAGATAAAGCGATAAGGCTTTGGCAAATGTAGCCATGGTAACGAAGGGTGAAGTGCCACGGTCAAGGGCCACCATGACTCTCTCCATCATGTACGCATCTGTCATACCGAGACCAGTGTGTAATACGTCCCTAAAGTGGGCTCTGAAATCAAAACATATACCAATTTAACATAAATCAAAACATAGACTTTTTCAATAATTGATTACGAGTTCAGTTAAATTAATTATGTCACAAATTATAAACTTATTATATCTAAAAACAGTTATTCAAAACGTCTTGTCAAATATTATACTCAAATGTAAACAAGCATTCTAACGCACTTTGACATTCTGTATAATATCGGTAACGAATGACTGTAATTTGACGTGAAAAGTTAATTTCATCTTCCATTTCAGTTTGTTTCAAATAAAATATACACTAGAAATCTTCGTGGACCATTACATAAGATTACTATAATACATTGAAATGAAGAATGTATTCGAAAATGGTCCATCGTCCCGCAACCAATCTGTATCTATACTAATATTATAAAGAGAAAAGATTCGATTGTTTGTTTGCATCGAATAGGCTCCGAAACTACTAAATGATTTAAAAAATTCTTTCATCAAAAATGGGAGTGGAAGTTTGAGTTAAAACATCACCGTAGTAACCATTGTTTACTATTCAATTTGTCTTTGCAATTACACCCATATCATAACATCAATCGATATCAAAATAAACGGTTCCCTAGAGACCACGCTGGCGAAGCCGCTGGTGGAAAGCTAGCTTTAGATATAATTTCTGAACATAGCATATCATGCAATAAGTTGTGAAGCATATTTTCCACCTAATGCTGATCCTGACATCCCCGGATTTCTATATAAAACAAACCGAGCAGTATCGTGTGACGATTAGTTTGCCAAATAATTCAATTAATATGAACTCTTGGTAAGACTGTGCACATTTTATCTGACGAGGCATACTCCACCAAACCACTCAAAGCAAATGATGTTTTAAAAAGTTCTCAAAGCTTTGGATTTTCCTATTAATTTCCTAGCCCTGGAATTTCCTAGTAACTTTTAAATTCTACAGGATACCTTCATATATATGGATGTCACTAGTACCATCACTGGTAACATCAAGTCACATTCTATCAATCGTCAGTTAGCTGGTATTAGAATGAATACGATTCACATGTGAATAAGTTGACCTTTCGGCAAAAGCCCTTTGATTCTACACAAAAAAAAAACGATATTCGCACAAATCCATGCAGCTTTGGGGAACCAACGCAAAACAAATCAAGCACGCTGCTTGGACTTTTTTGTAAACAATTGGCAAGCATTAAAGTCAAAAGTGCTGTCGAAAGAATTGAAACATCAAATATTAATATAAAGTTATGAATTTACATCGATATAAAAAATATGGCACTCACCGTGATATTAAATCACTTGCAGCGGGTTTTTCATCTCGTTTCTGTATTTTGAAGAAAATTACCATTATCTCTGTAACAGTTAATTTATTATTTCAAAACTATATAGGTGTCGCAAGTTTAATACTTCTACAATATAATACATATAAATTGTAACTGTTAGTAACAATATTATAGTATTGCAACTAGTAATAATAGAAGTAGTAATAATATTGACCTTTGCTTAAATGATGATCTTAATAAGGAAAATGGTTGTAAACTAATAATAATAATCATTTGTTTGCACATAACATGGTATGAAATGTTGGTTTCATTAAATTAATTACATGCAAAAATTCGTGTAAGTAAATTATTATTGTAATTTCTAATTTTATTACAATGTCAACCTTTACACAAACTAAGTATTCATTGGCATTCTTTATATTAAAAGAAAAATATTAAAAGACAGATCAAAAACCATAGTAGTTTTTTGATCTGACTTATAATATTTTTCTTTTCCGAAAAAAAAACTTATATTTAGATAATTTATAATAAACGAATATAGGACCTGACTGCCTTTAATGCACAGATAATCTCTTTAATGCCATGTTATAATTTTAACAAAATTATAAGAATGTTTGCAAATTCCCCTAAAAATCGTTTTTGTACAAAGTACCCTCTGCTCTGACCCACCATAAATCAGATATTTTTATTCAATTTAATTACTTACGTTCTAACTCATCAAACGTGAAATGTGTTTCTTTCTGAATCTCTATCCATACAGCACCATGTTTTTTACGGAATCGAATTTCTTCCATGGGATCTAACGATGAATCCAGTGAAGCAGACATTTTGATTTAGTGTAGGAAATTTATTTCAGAAAATTTAAAGTAAACAATTTATTTTAGATCGAATAATTGAAATAATGTGAGATTTATTATATAACCGTCAAAATGATTAAACATATAACATTGACATATTATTCCAAGTCTATGTTCAAAGTGTATATATTCACTCAATGCCTTACTCAATGTATTAGTATTCTCTTTGAACCATAGATTTATTACGTATACGTATTAATAAATCGACACTGCACGCGTAGCGTGACGAACTCGAGAACGATTTGTCTACACTCAAATGTCACTTTTCTCGAGTGCGCTCATATAATATCTCACTCTCGACCCGAGAAAGTGACATTTGGGTGTAGACAAAGCGTTTCTCGAGTTTGTCGAGAAGAAAAGCCTACTTTCATTCATTTCATTTTACATGTAGAAATTTATTTATTTCAATTTAACTAATTTGTTCGCTTAATAATAACGAGCAGAGAAACCATTATGAAAAGAAAAAGAAGCTGAAAATATTTTGAATAATTCAAATCGTTGTCGCTAATTTTAAATGCATATGTTATGTTGGTTAGCTAAACGAAAATGTTACATTACATGATGCCACTTATCTTGTTAACACTATTCTTTAGAAACGGGATTTGAATTTTTGTTATATTTGTAATCATTAAATTTATTCCGATTTTTATCAAACAAAGTAACTTGTGATTTTTGCAATAACATAATTTAATAGGAAATTATTAATCCCCATTAAATTAAGTTATCAAAAAGTCGAACAAATTTCACAACTCATATAAACTGAAATAATATCTGAAAGTGTATTCAGTTTGCCAGCGAACGAAAATTCGGAAAAATTTGAATCATTCATAAAATGTTGTTATCCGTGAAGATTTACTATGCATCAGGGGCTGTGTCACTCTGTCAGTCTATCTCCTATCTCCGTTGCATCGTAATTTATTGAAAAATGCATTTCGTATGACTACGAGTCATATTAGCAATTCAATAGTTGTAATTTCGTTTTCGGAGTAATAGAATACACATTCAGTTATTTCACATACAGTTATTTCGTAAGAATAGTATATTTTTAAGATATAACTAACAATAAACTTATTAGTGCAGAACATCTTTTGACAATCAAAACTTAAGAAAACTTGATGTTTTATTTTAAATAAAAATAAATAACGAAGATGTCTACTAAAGTCGACTAAAGCTTCTACGGAAAATATTAAGTATGATTACTGAAAGAGACTCATTATTAGGAAACAAAGGCATTTAAATCCATAAAGCCATCACGAAACGAAAATCACGACAACTATTTACAAATCGTGTGGTGTTTGTAGTCTGATGAAAATAACGTCGAAATTTTAGGCGATCACGAAGCGTAGCGCACTGTAGCTAACCGTAGTGTACTGTAGCTCACCATAGCGTACCGTAGCGCTCCGTAGCCTACCGTATTTCTAGCCTGTCACGTGACCGACAGGAATAAGACGAATACCACTTTTCAATTAAATAGGTAGACATGATAATAAATTATATCTCTTCATATCTTTAATGCCTTTCTATAAAGAAGAGGTAAGGTTATTTATACCAAAACTTAGCTGATTTTATAGAAAATTATGCCGTTATAAAACTTCGTTTATTATTCTGATCGATAATTGATTAACATTGTCAACCGGTATATTTAAGTATTTCAGTGGTTTTTTCACATTGCACTTTTATATTGATCATTTTCATAATGCGCGGACATTTTTTATAATGCCCGATTAATCACTTGATCCATAATATATACACCATTCCTTTTTTATTAAATTCAATACTAAATTTGAAATCTTATTTCGTGCATGCAATGTTTATCGTAAATCTTTCCGTGAACTCTATCCTTAACAAGTCTCGTACGAGCAATGTGAATCTAAACATTCAAGCCTTTTTAGTATAGTGGAAATTCGTGTAACTTAGACCCAGTTTGTATCGAAGGAGTAATATTGAGACCTCTGCGGTCTGGGAGCAAAGGGTCTTGAAGGGACATGAAACATTTCAGTTGCTTTATCAACTCTCAATTGATTACATCAATATCCACGCGAGGACAAAGATTTTTGTCCCTTGTCACACTTGTGACCCGAAGTTTGTAGCCTTTTATTAGTCACGGAGATTACGCCATCACTCGAGGACGTGAAATATTAACAGGCAGCAGTTTTCGGATCTAGTTTTGAAAATGTACGTAAGATGGCGTTACTAGAATAATAACTGTGTCGCTTTCATTTGAGAGTGAAATATTCGGGTGGCGGTTTTCTAAGTCAGTTTTAGACTCCACGTAAGGTGGCGCCACGTAAGGTGCGATATAAAAAAATAATAACCTAATAATAAAAAAGAAAATTATTAAATTTTCCTTGAGAACAGTATTTAAATATCAGTTTGAATATAGCTAGTTTATAAGAAACCTGTTTTATTATAAGCTAACTTAAAGTATCTTTCCGCGACTTCGCCTGCGTAAATTTATAGCCTTTGTCACCCTCGTATTATACCCCTTAGGTAAAAGAATTTTCAAGATTACATCAATTTTTATAATCATTAACCTCTGCAAACAAACAAACAAAGTAAGAAACTCTTCCTTTTTATAATATTACTACATATAAATTTGGGCTACTATGGACTTATGACGATTATAAAATACCGTTAAAAACAATCACTTTTTAAAAAGTGAATTAGATAACCAATCCAATCTACTCGAATGTTTATTCAGCTAAATTCTCGTTTTAAATATTCATCTAATTTTCTCGGTCAGCGTGTTTAGGCATAATAATAAAAAACCACTGACTTAAAAAAACTACTCAAAAAACATCTAAACACATTTTGAACGGATTAGAAACGTAATATTTGTAAATATATATTTATATTTGTAAATATTTTATTAAATGTTTACAGGTTCTGCATTCACTAGACTATGAAGTTTTGTAAATACAAACATTAGCCACGATTATAAACTATAGTTCTATCATTTTTTTCTTTGCTTGTACAATATATGGGAGTCCAGTCATTGTCTGATCTTGTTTGTTCAGTTACGACAGCAACTTAAAAGAGCATGAATTAGTTGACCTAAATCTATTTCTCAAAATGTAATGGATGTACTGCATGTTGTCGTTTGACTCTGGCAAGTTTTTGTAGCTTAAGCGTGGTAATTGCAGTTTAATACATGTAATTAAATACTTGCTAAACAATCTTATAAATCATAACTAATACAGTAAAAAGCATGTCAAGTATAATAAATTTACTTGATTTCAAACCATAATATAGGTATAATTTCAAGTTGAAAGTCAATTGTGAATTATAGTAACCTGACATGATACTGTGAATAAAATAAAAAATTAAATGTTTATGTTAATATAATGATTCTACTATTACATTCTATTATATTATTATACTGAAACTTCTATATCTATCGATCCTTTTATATCAGTGTTTGTAACCGCTTGTCCAATATAATAGATTGCTTCAATTATTTTTTCTTTATACATTAATATTTATAAAAGAAGGAGTAAGTGGCAATAATTTACCACTATTTTTTTTATGTTAAATTAAAGCTTATCGATCAGCTCCTCACCTTTCTGAGACGTTCCAAATGCACACGAAGACAACCAACTTTTTTTTCTTTGACTTTAAAATATACCAGCTTAAACGTTCACTATTTGGATCACCTGGGATGTGGCTAACAATATAGACTCGGCCTTTAATAATTTGATTTTCCGATAAAAGTGGTAGTACTTCGGAAAGAGCAAGATTCCTCTTAAAATTTGTAATTAGTTAAATTTACTTTGGACTTTCTTCATATGACATTTGTATAAAGCTAAAATTTTTTAAGATACTTGCATAAAACACCTCTATGGCGGTATTAATCCGCGGCTTTTTCAAATGTGTATCTAAATATTTGTGAATTATACATAATAGAATATCTATGTTGTAAGATCTGCATGTCAGGTAAGGTGCAAAGCCTTTAAAGTTGTTCCTGATGAGAACAGAAGATGGATGCGCAATTGTGCGGTATCACAACCTTTAGTAAATGGACGACGATTTCGAGAAATTCGCTTAAGTTCTCTTTGAGTATACCCCACAGGTCACTGCTTCATGAATCACTATACAATATATACTTAAATTAATTAAGTGGAAACTCTAAAAAATCTATTGACACTATCATTGTTCAAATAGGCAAAAGAAATAGTTAAAATTTTGTAGATATCTAAAGACTGAAAAATTGTAGTGACGTAAAGAAAATGGCTGAATATTTTATAGAAACTTTACAGTATACAGATTAAAAACACTATTATCACGAGAGGGTATCCTTTCTGTTCTTTTATTATTAAATTTTACGTCTTTAATCTACACAATCTACTAATAGTAGCTTTAAAGTCTTAATAGATTAGTCGCTTAGAGATTTACTGTGCAGTGTCGCTAATTGTTCATTGATTAAGTGTCTTGATTACCTTGAAAATTAAATAAGTACTTTGTAATTAGATATTGTTGCACATAAACATTTCTGTACTATAATAAAAATGTAACTGATCGATGTCTGATCTGAAAACGATTATGAGAAGCAATAAAAACGTAATAGACCACAAAACGATGATTTTTAAATATTTTCTCTGTTTGTCGGGTTATCTGTTTGTTTGAGCACGCTAATCTCAGAAACCGATTTTATTGCAGTTTTCACTATTGTATTATGGTAGCCTTCCGTTAAGTTTTATTTCAATCTGTTCATAAATAAAAAAGTTATATCAATATGAAGTACTGTGTTTGCCTAAATTGCAATGAAGTTCATTGCTTTCCAAAATTTTTGTCCTTGAAATATTTGTAAACGTCGTCAGCTTTTTATATCACCATGCAATCAAGTTCAGGCCTTTATTTAATAATTTTTTGGTTACCCACCCCTGAACAATCCATACAAAAATTGCTTAACAACAACAATCATTGCGTTACCGAGCTACGTATTGATATTATCTGTTAAATTATAATTTATA